GGACTTCTCGACAAACCAAGTCATACTGCTGTATCACAGCCCATTATATCACTGCCAATTGGGAGCTCAAATCATCATTACTGGAGACATTCGAGTTCAACACTGAGCACACAGCAGCTCACATAGCAGCCGAACTTCACCGTGTAGCAACTGCCTGGAACATCAGCAACAAAATCGCTTGCATCACTACCGATAATGCCTCGAACATGACAGCAGCAATAAGGGAAATGGGTTGGAGGCATCTACCTTGCTTTGCGCATTCTCTGAATCTAGTCGTACAAGACGCTATGAAGCTTGAGCAAGACCTTACAGGCATCAAAGAAAGGTGTAAGCAGATCGTTTCCCATTTTCATCGAAGTGCTAAGTCTAGTGATAAACTAGCAGCTATACAAAAGCAACTGGCAGCACCGGAGCACAAGCTTATTCAGGAAGTCTGCACTAGATGGAACTCCACCTACTTGATGTTCCAAAGGTATGTAGAGCAGCATGAAGCCGTTACAGCTACATTGTGTCTCCTTGGCCATAACGCTCTCTGCCTTTCATCAGATGATGTAACTACCATATCTAAATCTCTGGCAGTATTGGCACCATTCCTTGAGGCAACAGAGAACATATCAGCTGATCAGTATGTTTCAGTATCACTGATATTACCCTTGAAGAAGCTGCTACAACAGCAATGCTGCACCAGCTATCGCACATCATCCACACCACTAGCAGAGTTACTAGCTGATGAGCTTGAGAGTCGATTTTCTGCACTAGAGACCTCATACCTTTCCTGTGTTACTACTTTTCTAGATCCAAGATTAAAAAAAATTCCGTTCTCCTCCCAAACATCAGTCGAGCACACAACTAATCGTATCATTAGAGAAATGACAAGCCATGAGGTCGGATCCACTGGCATAGATAACTCAGCTGGCAACTCTGGTAGCTCAACACAGTCAACAGAACCATCTCAAAGTCTGTGGAATACATTTGACCGAAGTGTGGCTGAATCTACCTCCCACAGAAACACAGGAACTGACTGTATTATTAGACCCAACATTAGCAGACTGTATTAGAACCCAACATTAGCAGGTCCAGCAATCCATTAGACTGGTGAAAAAACAATTCCAGCAAATACCCACGGTTGCACAAGGTCGCTTCCAAATACTTAGGAGTGCCAGGGTGTTCAGTATCATCTGAGAGACTGTTTTCGAAAGCTGGACAGTTAGTTAGTGAGAGGAGAAACAGGCTGAAACCTGAGAACATTGACACCATATTATTTTTGAACCACAACATAAACTAGTAAACTAGTGCTATAAGTAAAAGCCACTGACTTACAGCATCTTTGACTTTGCTGCCTAGTTTATTTATCTTTAAGTAAAATAATAATGTTAGTTAATAACTGCGCATGCGCACAAATATAATACTCGGTATCGTACTCGATACTTTCGATACCCAATCCAAAAGTACTCGGAATCGAACCGAATTCATTTTTTCAGGTATCGAACATCACTACCACTCACTCTCCCTCGCCATGTCTTGGGACTCTCCACCCATTCTAGTTAGTGTTTATTGACTTGGGTGTGGTTTATAATCATGACCGACCGACCAGCACTGATTTTGCAGCAAAGAGCTTGAAGGTAGCGGTCCATTTATACAAGAAGATAGCGGATAGAGAACTGGAGTCTGGATGGCTCCACTAAAACTGCTAAAGAATAGATGATTAGCTGCTGAACACTGTAATTGTATAAACACGTGGTCAATTGTCATAGCAACTATCAATTGGTTTCCATAGTATTTAATTGAACTTCTTTATTAGTTTTTATTGTCGCGAATATTAGCAGTCGCGAATATTAGCAGTCGCGAATATTAGCAGTCGCAAATATTAGCAGTCACGAATATAAATCGTCCTACAAATCGTCCTACTGTATGTAGACTGAGTTGCATCCACTGAGTCTAGAGTTGCCACAAGCAAAGCCAAGCTGTTTCGCATGTTTTTGTGTTTAAACCAATGAGAGGCTTCATAATAGAGTAAGTCGGGGCTATTCCGTTCCCCTGTATAAACCAATGTAAAATCCGTGTGCAGCGGTTGGAATAGCCCCAGTTAGACGGTCCTCTTTCTCCTGTTGTAACTTCTTAACTATAGCAGATACAGGACTAAAACAAGGACATGTCTATTCAGTATAGAATTCTCTAACTACCAGCATGAAAGAACAACTTGATCTTTATAAAGTGCAGCTAAGCTACTTTGGCTAAAAATCTGCTTTCATTAGCTTTTTTACGTATTATCATCTAGTGATAGTGTTTGTATATCTCTGGTCACTGCATAAATTTCCGGTATACTAGTTAATATCCAGAGGGTTGGAATAGCCCCGGTAGGGTTGAAAAAGCCCCAACAACCAGGTCAGCGAAAGTACTGTTTTCATTTAAGCTTTAAGCTGAATTTTGCTGATTTCAAGAAAGCACAAATTAAACAGACAAAATAGAACTCATTGATGAATAAAATGAATGAAATAAAGCAAAGAAAAGTGAGTTATGACTTCGTGAATATTCAATTAGATCACAGCCCAGAAACGGGTCGGAATAGCCCCAAGTTACTATAATTTTTCACTGAAGTTGAAGACTTGAAATTTCAGACAGCTGGGACAATCATTTTTAGTCTGTCTCAGCCAAATGAGGCTGGAGGCATAGTCTAATGTGTGCACTATATTTCTATGCAGTCCTGACATCTTTTTGATTCTATAATAAGTTTTCAGGTTCCAGATGTATAGTCACCAGTTGACATACCTTAAGCCTACTATTTTTAGTGTCTACTAAATTTAGCTATATTAGCGAGAGAGCTTTAAATCGCTAAATTAAATAGACGCCAAAATTATTATTATTCATTATAATGGTTATTATTTATAGTTAATTTGGTTAAAAACGCTAAAATTACTAATGCTAAACATGAATTTTGCTGATTTCGTTAAAATTAGTAGATGCAAATAATAATAGGCTTAAGGTAATACTAATTGAGAGATAATGATATCCATTGCAAAATTATTTGTTTTATATTCATAAGCAGTCAATATTTAATTTTTTACTTCCAATGGTATTATAATTTTGTAGGGATCAGCAGAAAAATGTATTTGGAAAATTTTTGAAGAAGTTCAATGCTCCTTAAGAGAGTTTAAAAGTATAAGTACTTGTATTACAAATCCCAGAAGTGCTGTTGTTTCAAAGCTGGTGACTTTTGTTATGGATGAAAAGTTTCCTCAGTTTTATTTTAATATAATCTTACTTGGATCATATATGGAGGTCAGCCAAAGGACACATCACAAATGTGAATAAATGTGTATGCATGCAAATCTTTGACTAGTCACAGTACTAAAGATTCAGTATGGTACCTAGTCACAGTAGCAAAGATTCAGTATGGTCCAGGGTGGTTCTGAAGGCAAAAGATGTTGCAGTTACAGTTTGTCTCTATTTTTGTCATTTCAAATTTTTTTGCCCATCTAATTGATATATAACTCTCCCTTACATCTTCCACTGCACTGTTTTGAGCCAAGGTATAAGCATAATCTCTTTTGTTAGTTTTAACTGTTTCAAAAGATTATCTCTAAATTATTACAAAAATTACGTCTTGTGTAGAATTAACTCAAAAAGCATAAGGCCCAACTTGATTGTTACAGACAATAAACAGAAATAAGGCAGCAGTTGTATAACCAACATGTATCTAAGTATTGCATAACTTTATTAACAAGTACATACTATAATACCGTATTTCCTTAAATAAAGCCCGGGTGTCTATTTCCTAAAATGGTATTTGGACCTCGAAAAAATTTTTTAAATAGAGAAGACTTAGGCCCAGAGCGGGATTCAAACCAGTGACTTCAAGCATTAGGCTCAAGGAATTTGAGGCAGTATCCACAAGGCTACTGAGTTATGTATAGGCTAGATTTGCATATTTATGTACTTCAATTCTATTGCTACCCCGGCGTTTATTTGCATCCGGCTTTTATTTAAGGAAATACAGTAGATGTATACTGGTTACACACCGATTTGTAGCGATTACAGCTATTTGGAACCCTCAGAGTTGTCCAAATAGCTATAATTGGACAAAGAGGTATATAACCAATTTAAACTAATAGTTAGTTAATTACCATCCAGCACCTGGCATTGTGTAATATGCTAACTCTTAATTAATTCATAACAACCAACAAGAAAAGTAATGACTTATTTGAAGAGAAACTAGTCATTTTTAACATAGGCAGCAGGGTAGGGCATGAACAGAAAATTTTGGCTGGATATGGTTAATCAATTTAAATGGACACCTTCACAGAAATAGATGCACACGTCACTGTAGAGGAAGTTAACATTAAATTGGACATGCAACAGTAAACATTAAATTGGACATGCAACAGATTTTATTATAATAATTATAACACGTGTTTAGACTAGGGCTGAAAGGAATAGAGAGATATTTGAATATTCGTTTGTTTATAATTTTTTTAGCAATATTCAAATAGTTTTTTTGCTATTCGAATCAAATTGTTAATGGTTAATGCATAGATATTAGAGTAAATGAAATGGATTGGAAACGGAAGTGTGGGCGTAGGCAAACCTCCATTCATTTGTATTGTTGCTAAGTAAACTGTGGCAGGTTGAGATTTTCTGACAGATTTTGGAGCAAAAATCACAGATTTTATTGCTTTAATTTTGGATAACTCCAAGAGGATGCCGTTTATGCAAGCAAAACTCACTCACAATACTAACTAGTGTTTATACTTTTTATTAATATTTTAGTAGTTATTAGTAGTTGCGCCACTCTTTAACTAAAAATACTATCTTTTCCCCCTCTGAGAGACTCATTTTGTTCTTGAGCAGTGAATAAGTATTATCATTTTGAAGAGCTTTAAATCTCCTATGGAATGAGCTAACTCACGTGTTGATACTATGAAGCTTGAGTGTTTTATGAACGATAATGTGTTTCAAAAACAGGCGACTTTGTGTAACTATAACTGGTTGCAAAATGACTTTACAGAAACAAATCCTTGCTACAGGTAGCTCTAAAAATTTTATGTGGAATAGGCCATGTATCATAAGTAAGTGCTCTCCTGGAGCAACACAAATTTCCTTCAATATCCTTCCAGAATAACTTCACCAATGGAGGAGATGGGAATACAATCATAACACTGATGGTTGTTACGTGGTAACCCAACCAGCATTTCCTGTTGCTACGCCCCATTTCCAATCCTTTCATTTACTCTAATATCTATGTTTATTGCAATAATTAATGGCCATGCCCACCGCGTGCCACCTGCACAGGCTGCATTCTTTGAGGCTTTCTTCGGCTTTCTTAGTCAGTTTCTTGGTTACCAACTTGCTAAATACTGATGCTATAGCCATGGAAGTGGTTCTCAATCTCTAAGAAGCCCTGTTTGGGTCTATTTTGATTAGATTAACACCAAAAAGGTAGTTTATAATCATTCAGCAACAATAGTTAAAATATTCGAATATTTGTTCGTTTAGCATGCCAATTATTTGAATAGTGAAAAATACTATTCGTTTCAGCCCTAGTTTAGACTCATGTAGAGAGTAAAGACAAAGCAATCAGGCGTAGAACCAGGAGTAGGCATCTGTAGAACATTTCTTTCAACCAGCATTAGCTCTTTTACCACCCTAAGACACTCATTGCTAAAGAAACACCAGGAAAATTTACAAGTAGCCACTCAAGTTGCCATTTTGCCTAAATTTTTAGGGGTTTGGCTGAATTTTATGAATAGTTATCAGGGTTTCATAGCGAGGGGGTGGCACAGGGATTCCCCCCCACAAAAAAATTCTGTATAAAAGCCTGCTCAATGAAGCAATTCAAATAATTACATATATACCGTATAGCTGGAAAAGTTTGCAGGAATTATATTTTGCAATTTTGTACCCATATAGCTAATTTTAATGTTTGTAGAATTTAATTTTGCTAGTGTAGGCGTGTACTGTTGATACACCCATTACTTATAATGCTTTGCGGAATTAAATTGTGCGTTTTTATGATGAACAGCAAACAACAAAATTAAATTCCAGCAAATATTTCCAGCTATATGGTACATTGTACATGTGTGCAGAAGCCAGCACAGTTTAGAGTTCCCCCCCCACAAAAAATTTCAGTATGAAAGCCTGGTTATCAATACTACACGTCATCATTAATGATGTCATCTTTAAAAATTGGCCACTTTTTCAAGATGACATGTTTCTGTGAGCATGTGCCTTAAAAATGACATCATTCTTTATCATTGTTTTTATTAATAATAGTTAATAAGAATAAATAACCACTAGTTATTAAGCAATTATATCATGGCTACTCGTGCTTGCATGACTAGCTTCACTATTTTTTTAAGCTCTTTTTGGCAGTTTTTGCTCCAGCAATCTCTCTTTTGTGTTCTGTCTGTCTTATTCAACCAGCTTTTCAATACCCACCCATGATACAAAAGATCTCAGTACTTGGCTTGGTCATACTCTCCATGCATGGTTAGATACTACATATAATCATAGAGTCAGAGGCATGGGGGGGATTTTTGAAGTGAGGGGGCAAGTTGTGCAGCATTTGAAGTGTGCTACAAAATTTTACGGAACCACACCCTTTTAAGGGATGACCATACCTTTTTTTCAACATGGTGGACTTCTTGAATGATCATAGGCAAAGTTGAATACCTTTTCAGCATTATAATGGCATCATTGAAAGACTGATTTAGCCTTTTTCTTATATGTAAGTTGCAGAACAGCTTTTCCTTCCAAAAGTAGCTTATTATTTTGTTAATTTTAAATTTTGATTTTAAAAAATGCCCCCCTTGCCCTCCCCTCTGGCTATGCCTCTGTGGAGCCTGTGGACGAGGCTAAGATACTACATATTTTATGCCATCTGAGCTTTACACATATCTGAGCATAGATCATATGTAAAGCACACTCCCAAAACACCTTGCCAATGGGGGCATGGTCACGGAATTGCAGCATGCTTTGCTCACCATTTTCTTGCCTGACCATTCGTGGTACTTCTAAAGTAGACGATAATGTAGTGAAATACCTTATAAACAGGTTAAGAATCATAGGTGGCTGCAAGATTTTTTGCAGCCACCTATGATTTCTCAACCTGTTTATAAGGTCTTTCACTACATTACAGTCCACTTCAGAAGTACCAGAATAATTGCTTAGCGAAGGAGAGCTCATTTAAAGTATTTATATGGTTATAAATGTAAGACGGCCTAGTTAGAAGTGTTTTAAAATTACAAAAGTGGTTGCTGTTTTGAAAAATTGACCTCAATCCTACAATAAGAACTGTAGATGCAGTTTAATTTATCTGACCATCTAATAATATTGTACAAGATGAGTTATTGGCAAGGAATTAATGGCGATTGGTGGTTCCTTGAAGAATTTGCCTGCCATTTTGTTTCAATCTGAGCATGCTCAATGGCACATGGCACAAAATTGCCAACATAAAATTTGTCAATTGACTTTCCACAAGCAAATTTGCCAAATATTTCTCTTGAGAATAAATCATCTTGTACGGTAGCTAAGGCAGCATTCACACTTGCCCCATTTTTCTATTTATTATTTTTTCAATAACCTATGCACATGTGCATGCAAATGCAACTACAGTGTTTGGAGGCTTTGCACCATAGGTGCTTTGTTACTTATTAATTATTCTTGCCAAAATTATTAGTAATTATGTGAAGTTTCTTAACTTTCTTCTTAGGACAAAGACAATACTGCACTTAATGAACAAATTGATTGCCTCAGAAACCATCTCAGAGATATTTTCAATGGGACAAGTGATGAACAATCTATTAGCAAAGTCTACAATCTTATTTTGAAAGATACTAATGAGATAGAAAGAATTCTTAATATATGGAAAGTTGCAGCTTCAAAATTTGAAGAGTGTAATGCTTTGATTAAAGTAATTATCAATGATCACTACTGTTGGTTTTATTTATTTATGAAATATTTCATCATAAGTATTGGTGCTAAATATCTTTTCGACTTTTGAAAAGTTTAATTTAATGATTGATGTATGAAATAGTTAATATACTTATTATAAGCAGCATAGATCATGCCCTGCCCATTTAATGTGTTCATCACATGTACATGTATCATTATTTCTTTCATTTTTAGGATATGCATTCTAATTTGTATTCACAGGAGCAGTCACTGTTACTTTTGAGATTTGAGTCTTGCAAAATTCAACAATCTTATTCAGCTTGTGTAACAGATTTATCTACAAAATTGGTAAAGTAATAGTACATTATCAATTTTTTATTGATCAAGTATTGCTTAGGCATCACTGTCAAATGAAGTATGTAAACTTGGTTCATCACATCCTTTCACAGTTGCTAAGCTTCTCCATGCCTTGTTTTCAAGTATAAGATCAAATATCATACCATTAGTAAATAATGTAAGTTCAAATATACTTCAATTAATTTTATTTTTGATAAGAATAACGTCTCATTCATGTTATGACCAGAAGCGCTTTTAAATGTATGGGTAACTATAATTAGCAGAATAATATTTGGAAAGACATTGCCTTGGTTGTACAGTAACAATATTATAGTAAAAGTTTCTGTGTTAATTGCCATTGCTAAAATCATTAGATTTACTCGTTATTTAGTGTTTGTGAGATGTCAATGTGCTTCTATTCTATAGGTATTTGCTTTTCATAAGTGGAGTTTAGCATCCAATTTTGGCAGTGCTATTGTGTTTGCAACAATAATTGATTGGTGCTCTTATATATCTTGCCTTCAACAAGAAGATTATAAGGTATAGGAAATCACTTGACTTAAGTATACAGATTACTTGTTACAGCTTGATGATGCTCTGTCTAACTTATTGCCCATGTTGCAGTCTGTACATGATATCCTCCCAAGTGATTGCACCACTCTGGTTTGCATTATACAGCTGTAGCTTTTATATATGAAACTTATTATAGGTTAGTAGTTTGAATGTGAAACAAGATAAATCTATTCTTCTTAAACAACTTTCATCAATTGGGAATATTTTGCTGAATGCTACAAATATGAAAAAATATCAAAATGAGCATTTTCCTCATTTTTATCAAGTTTGTATCTCAATTTCTGAATGCAACTTATTTTCTGTAGATGTTTCTAAAATTTTATGAGAATTGTGTAAAATTGCATGCTCAGTGTCAAGGATCATGGGAAAAATCTCATGCCATTAATATCACTAGTAATGATATTAAAGACTTAACCACCTGCCTTTTAAATTCAATTTTGGAATTAAGGTTTGTATTTTTATGGATTATATACCCAGATTAGGATTGGAAGCAGCTCACATGAGCACATTTTGCAATAAACCAACCTAGTTGGCTGGGAACTGGTTAATTTATGGTTATTAAGAATGAAATTTGATTTTCATAATGGATGAATGGAGATTGTTACAAACACTTTGTGGAACTCTCTAGACTATACCCAGCAGTTTCATGGCAAAGTATCTAGTTCTATGGCTACTTCTTAACATCCTACAGTGGACTAAAATGTTTGTTATAGTGCGCACTAAGAGTTTGAGAGTAATGTGTCCTGGCTTAAAAGGTAACTAAACTTTTTTTTCTATTTTTCAATAATCAAGTCACGTTATTTTTAGAACAAATGAATGACAGTTATGCCCTTATTTCCATCAAAAAGTGTTCCACTTGCGAGATAATGCACTTTACATTTCATCTTTTTTTG